AGGGGTGGGAGGGGGACCCCGCCCCAGGGGCTCTGCACCCCCTCCCCCGGGGGCCCGGGGAATGGGGGCCACCGTGGGAGACGGACGCGCCCCGGGCTCATGGCTGTCCGACGGGTGAGCCGCACGCAGGGTGAGAGCAGGGACGCGGGGTGTGGAGGCGGTCACCTGCCACCTGGGTCAGGTCCAGGATGATCCGGACGTGCACGGGCAGAGTCTGGAGGGCTCTGTCGAATTTCTCCATGACCTCGCTGTCGGCCTTCAGGGTCCTGGCTGTGGGGGGCGGTGGGTCAGTCCCTGGGCCGCGGGGCTTTGACGGCCTCGGGGAGCCCCGGCCAGGGAGCCAGAGCAGAAAGCACACACTGGCGTCCTGAGGTCAGCCCCCGGGGTGGCCTCCGGGGCTCAGCCCCCCTGTCCTCCAGGGTCCCCGCCCCGCCCTCCCAGGACGGCGCCGGGGGCCCTGCAGGGACACGAGGCCAGGACCCACGTCCCCGGGCCGCTGGGGCTCGCCCGCAGGGCTGATGTGCTGGCCAAGAACGCGTCTCTAACCGCACACAAAGCGCTTCATTCAGGCAAAGCGGCCGCGTCTCAGCCCCCTGCTACCAGATCTCTACCAGCTTGCGTTCCGTTCAGAACGTGACAGGTTTAATGGTACTTTTGTGGAACATCACCCCCAAGCAAAGCTTCTACTTAGCAGTCATCCTCTGGCCGAGGCAGGAGCACTAAGCCCAGCCCCGCGGCCTGGATCCTGGATCCCCGATTCCCGAGGCAATGTCAGGGGACTTGGCCCCCACCGGGGGTCCTCATCCCCCCCACCCCCCCATGCAGGGCGACCCCGGGCCTGCTCAGTGACGTACTCAGGCACTGGCACACGAGGTTCTGCCCGGGGGCGTCGGTGTTCTCCAGGCAGAAGAACAGGTAGTTCTCGTAGTCGGTGTCCAGCACGATGAGCTCGTTCTCATCCAGATCTGGGGAGAGAGAGTCCCGGGTCTTCCCTCCAGCAGGAGGGACAGCATGGGTCTCCTCAGGGCGGCCCCATGGCAAGGCCGGGCTGGGGGGCTTCTCCTGCACCCCCCACAGGGCACAGGGGGCTGCGAGGCCCTGGCTGTTAACTGTGGACCTCCCGCCAGAAATGCTGTGCCTCCTGCTAGATGGGCTCACTCAGCACTCAACCCCGGACCCCCCACCCCCGTGTCCTGGGACCCAGAGAGGTTAAGAAGTGGGGCTCCACACTGATCTTGAATGAACGGGGCACCTCGGAGAAGAGGGGCGGAGCCGTGGGATGCATGGAAACGGGGGGTGGGGGTGAGTATGGGCCGGAGGTGACGGTGGCCCTCGGGGGCCGTGGGGACTGCCAGCTGCACAGCTCGGTGCCACACCCCCACCCACGCAGCTCTGTGCTGGAGCCCCTGGGGCCGGTCGGCAGCCGTCGCACGAAGCCAGGCTGGAGGGCTGGCCTAGGGGGGGCAAAGTGGGACGCAGCCCAGGCTGCCCGCTGGGGACGGCCGTGGAGGAAGCGGCCCCTCCCACGGGGCCTTCTCATTCTGGACCTGGTGAGGAATGCGGGCGCGAGCACGGGAGGGAATGACCCAACGGGGGTCTAGGAGTGCAGGAACCAGGGGGCAGGCCGGGCGTCATGGGGCGCCCTGACCCGTGGGAAGCAGGAGATGTCCTGGCGCAGGCGGCCTGGGAGGCGGTGCAGAGGACAGCCGGGTGCGGGTGCCTCCCAGGCCCGGCCCACAGACAGCGAGCTGGGTCTCATGGCCGTGGGGGTCAGAGAGGCCCAGCAGGGACCTGCCCACGGCCCTGAAGGTGGGAAGGGCAGTGCGAGCTGGCACTGAGGACCGTGTCGCTCTTGTCAGCACCCTGGGGCCGGAGCACGGACCCTGCCGTGCTGCCCGGGAGCCGCCAGCGGGGGTGTCCAGGGTGGGCCGGGGGCCTGGCACTTACAGCCGATCTTGAACTCAGCAGGGAGCTCGGTTTTTTCTGCCCAGACCTTCTTCTGCACACACCTGCCCTGCTCCCTGAAAGAAGGCCGTGTCTGCGGGCCGCCCGCACAGACCTTACCGTGACAGAGCCGAGCTGTGGGTGGGGAGCAGAAGCCGGGCTCTGGGAGGCCTGGGCGGCACTCGGCAGGTGACCCGGTGGGACAGGGCCACCCCATGAGAGGGCGGAGGGAGCCAGAGGGAGTGGGGGCGGGGGCGCCCTCGCCCCAGCAGTCAGCACACAATTGTGGGGTTCGTGTCCTCCTCTCTGTCCCCAACACTGACCCAGCTCTCTCCCGTACCCCCACAACCTCTCCAGGGCGGACAGGGCTCGTGGCAGGAACCGCCCAGGCCCCCAGGGCCCCAGCCCCCAGCTGATCGGCCGGCCTCCACGCGGGCCTCTCTGCGCACTGCCCTGCGGCCACCCTGTGTGATCGGCCCGTCGGCCCAGAGCCCTGGGTGGGGGCTCCGAGGCCACCGGGGACCACCCCCACGGAGCCAGCTCCCGTCAGGACCCTGCCCGCCCGCCCGCCCGCCCTGGGCCCAGGCCCTCGCCGGCCCCCAGCCCGGGGGCCTCGGTCACCCACCATTTGCGCAGAATGATCTCCAGGTTGTCCCGGGGCGTGGGTCTCAGCTCCTGGACGTACACTCTCAGAGGGGCGGTCTCCGAGTCCAGGAGGGAGATGTCGCTGGCCGCCATGGCCATGGAGTGCCATGTCCCAGCCACCTGGGGAGGGGGCCTGAGCTGCCATCGGGGGTGGGGAGCCGGCCCCGGCGCCACAGCGCGCCTCTCCCTCCCACCCCGGCCGGGGGCCCTGTCTAAGTGTGGTGGCAGCCAGTGAGCTCTGGGCGACCCCCCGCCACCGACCAGACGCCCCTCTGGGAGCCCCCACACTTGAAATGACATCTTAGGTTCCCAGGTGGCCTTAAAGGACAGGTTGTGCGAGTTCCGTGGAACCATCTGGACCTTGGGCAAGCGAGGGAAAGCCGCCCTGAGGACAGGGTGTGGGGGGGGGGGGGCTCCCAGCGTCCTGGCTTCCACCCACACTCTTCAGAGGGCCGAGGCCCCGCCCCCGCCCGCCCTGCAGCTCACCGCCCCCTCCCCCAGCCGTCCTCGGACCTTCTGCAGGTCTAGGCCGTCCATGGTCGGGAGGACGGTGGCGGCCTGGAGGCCACACACGAGGGCCAGGCCCAGGGCGAGCGGGAGGCACTTCATGGCTGCGGCTGTGGTGGCGCTGAGCTCCCGGGACTGAGGAAGGCCAGGCCGTGGGTTCGGGCCCTTATACGGGGGCCGGGGGCCTGCGAGCCATGTGGTTCCCCAAATTCCCCGTGGCTCATCCCCAGGCCCTCAGGGGGCTTCCTCCACCCGCACAATGGGAGGCCTTCTTCTCGCGGAGCGAGCGGGAACGGGACGGTCCCTGTGTCCCTGAACGGTTCCTGGTAGGCCCCCGAGGGAGGAGGGTCCGGGGTGTGGGTCCAGGCTGGTCGCCAGTATCGGGAACACTTCCTGGGTCACGATCTTTGAGAACAACAGGTCAGAGTCAGCACTGGGGACAGCTGTGTCCTGGAGGGTGTGCCCTGGAGCCCAGCCAATGGCCGGAGGGCCCCACGCCAGCCCCAGGGTCCGGGACATCGTGCCTGTGGGTGGCTCTCTGTCCCACACGAGGAACAGACATCACCCCTTCACCCCCTCTCCTCCTGCAGGTGCCCACCACCTCCCGGTGCCCCCACGTGCCCGGCTGGTCAAGGTCTCCTAGGTCTTTCTCCTTCGGATTCATTCTCTCTCCTGGGGCATCAGCGACTCATGACCCACGGCCACGGCCTTGGGAGGATGGGTTCTCCTCCCGGTCACCCCACCGCCTGCAGGAAGGGGAAGGTGCCGCGGGTTCAGGCGGGGTCCGAGGACGGGCCTGGCCGGCAGTGGGCACTCTGCCGAGTCACAGGAGTGGTCGGGGACCACGGTGATCGGCAGGGTCACCCAGCCCACGGGCTAGGTCCCTCTCAGGGTGGGGCGCGCGTGGGGGCAGCACGAGGGGCGTCCATGGGTACGTGCCATCAGGAAGCCCACGGGTCTGCCAGGCCGCACCTCTGAAATCGCCCGAAGCACTTCCTCGTGCCCGGGAGCTCCAGGTGTGCGGGCGCGGAGGGGAGTCGAGCGGTTACAGAAGAACGTGTCCCGCCGATCAGGTTGCAAACCAGCACCCACAGGGGGACGCGCGAGCCCCGTGCGCTGAGCCAAGGGGGTGAAAGGCCACCACCTGACGTTCAGACGGTCAACCTGCCCGTCCCCGGGAGGCGGGCATCGGGATGGAGGAGGAGCGCGGAGGGGGACAGCCCCCTGCCCTGTGCCCTCTCCCGATGGGGCGTCTGGAGGGCACCTCCCCCACAGGTGGGGGCCATCCGGGTGATCCACGGGCAGCAGCAGCAGCTCGGGTGGAGGCCCAGGGCTCTGCTCTCTTTCCTGGAAAGGCCACATGTCACTGCATGTCACTGTGCCAGGAAAGAGCCCACCCCGCAGAGAGATGGCAGGTCCCGGGCCACGGGGCTCCGGTTCTAAGGGCGGGAGAGGCGGTGGCTCAGGCCGTCAGGCCGGTGTGGCCCTCTTGTGGTAGCTCGTGCAGACCTGCCTCTCCGTGTCCACAATCCTCCCTGGCAGGTGGCCGGGCTCAGTGTGGCTGCCGCTCCCGGGGGAGGCTCTGACCCCGGACGTGGGGGTGTCTGTTGAAACTCTGAGGAGTGGCCTTGAAGCCAGGCGGGGTGGGGTGGACATTCTTGCTGCCTGTCGGTGGAGGATCCGGAACGGTCCGGGTGAGGTGGGCGTCCAGCAGCACCTCTGTGGGGTGTGCGCCAGGCACCGTGACCCTTCCGGGCCCTCCCCACGCCCTCCCCGCAGTCCCCGTGACAGCCTCTGGGGTTCAGCGTTTTCCTGTTTTCCGGGGAGCAGCAGGGAATGCACTGGGTTGAATGGTGTCCCCCAAAACTCACGTCCAAATGTGACCTTATTTGGAAACAGGGACCCTACAGATGTGATTTCTGTGGATGAGGCCCACGTGGGAGTAGGGGTTACTGTCTCATGTCCTTTTAAGAGAAAACAGGGGCAGAGAGGGGACCCAGGGAGAAGGCCTGTGGCCACAAAGCCAGAACTTGGGAGGGATGTTGTCTACAAGACAAGGGATGCTGGGACACCCAGCAGCTCCAGAAGCTGGAAGAGGCCAGGAGCCTCCCCTGCAGCCTTCGGAGGGAGCACAGCCCTGCCCACCCCTTGACTGGACTTCGGGCCTGGGAACTGGGAGAGTGGTCCTCTGTGGCTAGCAGTCCCCACCAGCGGGGGGTCCTTTGCGACGGTGGCCCCGGCTGCTAGCTCCAGCAGCTTCGACCGTGTCCACGGTGACCCGGCTGCGAGATCGAGGCCGTACTTGGCTCCCAGGACAGGGTCGTGGGGGTGCCAGCCTGCAGAAAGCAGATGTCCCGTTTTCTGGTGAGTTTGGGAAGCGCTGGCCCCGCCCTCCGCGGGTGACATCCCTCTCGCGTTCTCGGAGATTCTGCCGCGTCCCTGCCAACATGGTGCTGCAAAGCGTGCTGTTTGGGATGCACCTGGTCATAATTTCTGGAATACTCCTCAGAATGCTATTTAAAAAAACACAAAGAGGGGCGCCTGGGTGGCTCGGTCGGTTGAGCGTCCGACTTCCGCTCGGGTCATGATCTCACGGTCCATGGGTTCGAGCCCCACATCAGGCTCTGTGCTGACCGCTTGCTCAGAGCCTGGAGCCCGCTTCGGGGTCTATGTCTCCCTCTCTCTCTGCCCCTCCCCCGCTCATGCTCTGTGTGTCTCTCAAAAATAAATAAACTTAAAACACACACACACACACACACACACACACAAAAGGAAAAAAAAGTGATTGCTGGCCTCAGGCGGTTGGCGTTGTCCAGTCTGAGGGGAGACCCAGGCCCCGGCATCCAACTTTCCCAGATCGCTGCCCCAGTGAGTGGGACGTGGGAGGGGACTGGCCCCAGGCCCTTGCCCTCCTGTCGGGACCCCGAGGTCTTTAGAAGTGGCCGGAGGGCAGGCCTGTGATGGCAGAAGCAGGACATTACTTTTCTTGGGATGAACTCTTGGGGCCAGGGAGGGGCAGTGGGCTTTCACGCAGCTGAGGACGTGCATTGATGCCCTGCCCTGTTTCCCCGGGACCTGTCCCTGCAGCTGGGCCTCAGTGGGACCAGCGGGCAGCCTGGCACCACGAGGGCGAGTCCGAGTTTTGCCGGGCACGAGTGTGGTGGCCGGCACCAGGTGTCCCCAAGCATGCACCCTCGTGGGTTAACTTCCATCTGGAAAGAACACCGCTCCCGGCGGGGGCTCCCTCCCTGCACAAATCCTAGGCAACCCAACCCCCACCCCCGACACCGGCACCACCGCCGGGTCCCGGACGCCGCCTCCCTGAGCCTCCAGAGCCCCGGGGACTTGAGGTGCCCGCACTCACTAACGTTACTCGTGTCGGTAGCACAGCAGGTAAAACACAAGTCGCCAAAATCGTCTCAAATGTGTCACCAACAGTGTGGCCAAATTACTGTCACCATAGAAGACCGGATGGCAGTTCCTTAAGAGAGTAAGCAGATTTCACAATTACCGTGTGATCCCACAGCTCCGCCACAGACCCCAAAAGGTCTGAAGGCAGATTCTTCTTTTCAGTTTCCTTGCTTCCTTTGAAAGAGCAAGAGGGAGACAGAATCCCAAGCAGACCCCACGCCGCTCGGCGCGGAGGCTGACGCAGGGCTCGATCCCACGAACCGCGGGACCACAGCCTGAGCCGAAACCAAGAGTCAGACGCGCCACCGACTGAGCCCCCGGCGCCCCTGAGAGCAGATCTCGGAGAGATATTTATGCCTCCCTGTTCACGGCAGCATCTTCGCAGCGGCCGAAGGGGGGACACGGCCCACGTGTCCATCGACGGATGGAGGCATAAACCACACGGTCCGTCCACACCGTGGAAAATTATTCCGCCCTCGAAAGGAAGGAAATCCTGACAGCTGAGACCACGTGGACGGAGCTTGAGGACATTATGCCGAGTGAGATATGCCAGACGGGACAGATCGAATCCCGGAGGATTCCACTTACGTGAGGGACCCAGAGGAGTCAGGTCCGTGGAGATGGTAGGAGAGGGGGGCCAGGGGCTGGGGGAGGAGAGGTCTTGTTCTATGGGTGCAGAGTTTGTATTTTCCAAGATGAAAAAGCCCTGGAGATGTGTTTTTACAGCAGTGTGACTGCACCCAGCGTTACCGAGTTGTGCACTTCAGAACGGTTCGTCTTAGGGAGAGAGAAAGGAGAAAAAACCCCACAGACACGTTCTGGGGACGGACAGAGGGGACGGCTGCACGACCGCGTGAATGCGCCCGACGCCCCCGAACGGTGCCCTCGAAAGTGCTGAACTGTTGTGATTCACGCTACGTGTATTTTGCTGCAATTAACAAAAAAAGTCTAATTGCCACGCACAGCCTCCCCTGCCCCCACCCCCCGCCCAGCGTGCTCCCCATCCTTTTGAAAGCATCCATCTCGGGAGGGGGTGTCACTCTTGTTTCCTCGGAGGCCGCCTGAGCCCCCGCTCTTCCGCAGAAAGGCCATGCGGCCTAGCCTGCTGCCTCCATGTGGAACATTCTGTGGTTTGCACCAAAGCTCAGTGCCCGGTGCTGGTGCAGTCTGGTTCTGAATGAGCCCTCGGGGCACGGGGCGAGCTGCCAGCGGCCCCAGGAGCGCACACACTCAGCGCCCAAGGAGGCACCGTGGCCTTGCCGGCTTCCATAGATGGTTTCTGTATAACGGTTTGCGGACACGGTCTTAGACCAGAGAGCAGAGCGCTAGACCTGCTTTGGGCGGGGGGAGGGCGGCTGCCGCCTGGGAGCAGGTGCCGGCACAGGCACGCCCGGGACCCACAGCACGGACAGAGCCACTGGTGGACGGAGCGATCGAATGCCTCTGAGGCCCCGGCGTGGGGACAGGACAGACAGCGACCCCCCGGGAGAAGAAATGGGTGAAGGTGTTCTGAGTGCCCTGTGCAGAGGCCGGGGGTCAGGCCCCTCCCAGACTTAACAACGTGGACCCCCAAGGTCCTTGCTGAGCTCAGTCAAGGACGAGGAGAGACACCGCACAGAACAGCCGGGTGAAAGGGCCACAGGTGTGGAGGAGGCAGAGACCGAGGCCGGGAGGCTGGGAGGCCGGGGAGCGCCCACCGGGAAACGCGCCCGAAGAGAGTGGGGACCCTCCACAGTTATTAAGCCCATCGTAGCAGTGATCTGAGTGTTGCCCCGCGACATCACCAGCTCCGACCGCTGGGGTACTCCCAGCCCGTCCCACGGA